CACCATATCTGTGTTTTTGGGTGTAACCGACCCCAGGAAGATTTTGACAACCAGTCCTTTCTCAGACTGGGTTCGTAGAGAATGCTACTTGAAGTGGAAATTGATCGCCGGTCGCCGGCACCCATCGTTAATGCAGTAGCATATCACTGTGCCCCGTGCTTCAGTAACTCTCTTCGTAGACCCGAATACGCACCCTTCCGCGATGTTATCTTTTCAATCTACCACCGGCGTTGACCTCGCTACTCTAAAGGCTAATCAGAAGAAACGAATTCGGATCAGGATGGGATGGTGCACGCGCTACGATTTCCAATTTTTACGATGAAAAACAAATTGGCTAGCGATTGTTTAGGGTCTAGTGTCCGCTCAAAGGTTATAGTCGGTCAAGTATGTGTATTGCTGGATACTGTTGCCCGTAAACCCAATGCTTTTGATAGTATCCACGATTATTAGTACAGACAACTCTATTTTTTCTTCTTACTTTTACTGGCATATCTATTCCGACAATTAGCTTCTGCTGCCAGCTTATTGACTGCCATACGCTGGTGCCTGCCAGTCGTATAGAGAAGTGTGAGATTGCAGATTAGCAGTAGAAAGATTGTGACTGTATCCTATTAATTTCATTTTAAATATTTCTCTAATGCCACACCTTCGAGACTTTTTAAACTTATATGTGATTGTTAATTAACAATTAGCCAGAAGTAGCCATTACGACTACCGTATCAAAGATATCTCATATTTCTTAGCTTGAGACTTAGCAATGCGTCTGTGCAGAATAGATGCAGAACGTGGCATAACCCCATTTTATTTATTTTGTCTACCACTGCTATATGGTGGATGCGGTATTTGAAACCTCCGAATTAAATCGATCCTATACAGCAGCGAGGAAGAATGAAGCAAACCAACTACGCCTAATAAGCGCTGAGTTGGTAACTGAACTACGATCGTTTAAAATTTTTTAAGGTGCATATCCTTTAATAGTGTAATGCAAAGGGACATAGCGACAATAAATAAGATATTTTTCATCATAAGCGTCCAGACCGATAGAAACAAAGAGCCCGAGGATAATCGTACCTTACAGAAGACAAATGACTGTCGGTCAGTCCGAACCTAACAGCGGCCGACCTGGATCATCGGAAAAAGCAACACTAGGGCTCAACACACAGGCATTAGACATCTTTTGTTTCGGAGCTCTCTGTTATCTCCTGGTCTAGTATGGATATCCCTGTAAAGTCGACGTAAAAACCTGTCCCCAGCGAATATGGGGCCACCTCTATAACCGTAATCTTCTCTTAAAAGTTCCTATGGTTTGACATGCGTACTTTAAAAAGAAATTCTTGCACTGGCTTCTCATTTCGCATTGTATACTGTTTAATGTGATGCCATGACTCGCAATAACATATGCGGCATCGGAGCCTTGGCGTAGCGCTCGCTTTAAGCGTGTAATGTGTGGTTTTCTTAAGGCAGTTGGAATACCCCGGGTCGGCTTGCAACTGGTAAATCTACTTATAAATGGCAAAACCGTTTCACTATTGTAACGCGTGATTTTCTATTCTTATCGCCTCGCCTTATGTCAGAGTTGAAGAAAGTGTAATACGCGACTGAAACAGAAAAAAACTGCATTGCTGTTTTCTGCAGCTCCTTGCAGTATTCCCTGTTAGTCTGGGTCATTGTGTGGATATTTTACAGATCCCGATCAATAAGCATCCCTTCAAGATAAAGCTTGCGTGTTTATATGTCAGATTTCATTTATGCCTCCTTCCGACCGCCTACGCAAATTACACCGAGAACTTGGCTGTGGTTTACAGTCATTGTAAAGTTAAAGCAACAACGCCAGCTGAAATATTCACCAAATCACTACACATAGTGTAAGAAGACGCCCACCGCTTGCAACATCTTCGCCACATCTTTAGTTTCGTGGCTAGTTGAGTTGACTCCGGGCTCGATGTTTGGATGATATGTCAACGTTGTTTGATATTCGCTTTAAAAAGCGCCCACAAAAAGAGAATTGGATTAATGTCAACCTGGTAGTGTTAACGTTTGACAAAAATGTGGAAATTCAAACAAATCATAGTTTTTTGCTGCTTACATTCCTCTTTTAATATCACTTTCCAGTACGTGATTGCTGAAATCAATGGACGCCGTGTGCGAATACTTAAACCGAACGAAATACTAAATTTTAGGACCGAAGACTATATACTTTACGCCTTTGAGGTTCCCGATGTATGGGAAGGAAATGTCGAAATGTAAGTTACAGCTCGTTTGTCAATGTATACAAGGGAGAGACGCGTGTAAGAGTACCTTGTCTCTTATCGTCACAAACTTGTTTTTTTTTCAGGACAACAAGATTTACAAATAGATCGGATTCAGAACGTCCTGAGGACTTGTGCTACAAGGTCATTACAGTTATCAATACACACCTACGTTATGAGCGATTCAACAAAAAGGCCAAAGTTTCAGGTAGTCAGGAAGCTTTTTCTGACGTCTAAAAATTCAGAAAGGCATTGTATTACGTCGATTTCAGTACACAGTAACGGATGCGAGAACGCACTTAACGATGCGCTAAAGAGTCTATCAATGGTTTCTTTTCGCGCCACTGGTTACCAACTGCTCAGTGGCCCACGTATCCCCACTACGTGGCTTAAGCGATCAGACAGCACAAAAGACTCGACATTTTAGAATTACAGAAAGACTTCGAGCTCTTGTGACGTCAGATTCCAGAGTCTGTCACGAAGCTTGAAGAAGCTCGACTATTTGGTGCGAATAACTAGACATGCATATTGCTAGAGTTTATATTCTTAATATAACCCAAATCACGCTTACGGAGCACCTCCATTTCATTTGCAGGTTAGCTTCATACACTAAACCTAAATAGAAATAAATATTCGACATACAGAGAGAACTAGTGCATTTACTGCACGGTGTGACCATTTATTGGCTGCTACTATATAAGGCACACACAGGAAGTTGAGCTAGGTCAACCGCATATGCCACCGAAGTAATATAACAAGTGTGCAATTCAATAAAGGAAGGAAAGTATGTAAGTAATCTACTTAGAGTTTACTGGTATTCACTTTCAAAGTATGTAAAGATGTAAAACTGTATGATTTAAAAGCATGCACGCTCACAAATTATTTTGACCACTACCAAAATTTCGGATATATGCAAACGCTGCAGGAGCAAATAAATCAGGTTCCAATGAAAGTTTCCTGAAACGATAATCCCAAAGGCACGAGGTATGAATGCCACGGAAGAAACCAACCAGTTCAAATAGCCACCTAATCACGGTTTTCTTGTCAGAAACATATATAACACCGACTTCAGGTATGCTTATTCCGGGTCGTATGCATTTTGAGAGTATGTTTCAGAACCACTCGCAATTTTACAATTCAGACCGATAGATTCTAATTTGGAAGAATTTTTTTGGGAAAATGTTGTTTATTGAGTGAATTTTCGACACTGCCTCACCAGGTCGTCATCAGACGGATGGGAACCGTACGAAACAGTTAAGCCACAATGATGGCTAACAGGGGCCGGGGTAACAATTTGTTAATGTCACCCGCATGTGATTATGCGGTTAGTGGGGAAGAAAATAGTTGTTACCC